AATGTCTGTAGGTTGTTGGAAATGCCTTTCGTGACGCGCCAAGTCTCTCAACCATCACACAGAAGCACTGCCTTGACTGGATTGGTGTTGAAAATCCGTATCTTGTTCTTTGTGCTGAGTGCAGAAGATTTCCACACTGATTTCAGGCTAATGAACGCCTGTCTTGCTATCTTTCCGATTCTGACTTTGACATCCTCGTCTGTGCCGCCTGTAGTTGAAACAGTGCTTCCTAGATAAGTGAAGGAGGTTACTTCCTTTAAGTTTCTCCCGTTGATGGTGACTGGAGTTTGTTGTTGTTGTTGATGGTGGTGGTGCGGTATCTTCATCACCTCTGTCTTCTCTATATTCACTTGAAGTCCCGTCTTCGCTGCCTTTTCTATCAACTTGTTAGTTTTTGCCTGTAGATCTTCAAGTTTATGTGACATTAGGCACAAGTCATCACTGGCGAAATCCAAGTCTTCTAGGTTCTTTTCCGTCGTCCAGTGTATCCCCCTCTTCTCGCTGCCTACTGTTTGCTGCATGATCCAGTCCACCACAATAAGGAATATCATGGGGGATAGTAGGCAACCTTGTTTCACTCCTGTCTCCACTTCACTTCAAAAGCATCACTGAGCTTGCCATTGTGAATTACTTGGCATGTGGCATCTTCATATAGTTGTTGAATGAGGCTGATAAAGGTTTGCGGTACTCCGTAGTATTGAAGCAGTTTCCAAATTACTTCTCGGTCGAGGCTGTCAAAGGCCTTCTCAAAGTCGATGAAGTTGAGGTGGAGAGGTGATTGCCATTCTATGCTCTGTTCTATGATGATGCGTAGGGTGGCGTTGCAATTTGGTCTGCACATGATTTGTACTTCCTGAAGCCTGCCTGTTCCGGTCGCAGTTTTGAATCCAGTGCATCTTTAAGCCTCTCCAGGATGATGCGGCTTAATATTTTACTTGGTTTGGGTGGACAGGAGAGTGATTCCGCGCCAGTTCTTGCAAGCACTGAGGTCTCCTTTCTTCGGCAGTTTGACAAGGTAACCCTTCTTCCAATCGTCAGGTACCTTCTCTTCCTTCCACACCTTCTGCAATAGTGGTGTGAGCATGTCTGCTGTTGTCTCTGCATCTGTTCTCAGTGCTTCTGGCGGTATCATCTTTGTACAACAATTTGACAAGGCTGAATCATCCGTAAAGAAGAACGCATAACAAGTTATCATTTATAAGCTTAGATATTGTAAATTCTGGTCTACTATAAGTGATAAAACTGTTAGAATAAGTAATGAAACGTCAGTTGAAACAAATTTATTATGTTTTACATTCATTGGGAAATACAAATACCAAAATAAAGAACGGTAATATGTTTTTTCGCTTTTCGGTGAAATAAAGTCGACAGCAGTGTATTTCTTCCATTTTTTTCTAAACTGGATGAGTGTATCGACCAAATATTCACACTGCGCCAGGTTCTGGAACACAAACATGCTTACCGACGCCCGGTGATACCTGCATTTCTCAACCTAAAGGTGGCATTCGACTCCGTTGGTGGAGACGTCCTATGGCAATGTCTCTCACTGAAAGGTATGCTGAGTAAGTACATCATCTTATTGAAAGCTCTTTACTAGAACACTTGTGGGCGTGTTAGAGCCTTTGATGAGATGTCCGGGGGCTATGCTCGCCAAGTGGCGTTCGTCAAGGGTACTCACTCTCTCTATTCTTATTCAAATTTATCATAGATATACTTATGGAGATCTCCCTCTCGTCACATGACTACACAGAGTTTGACCTGACCACAAGAGAATTCTCGTTAGACCTAGAATGTGGAGATGACATAGTCCTGTTTGTTGAAGATGCTGACAAGATGCAGAGTCTTCTGGACACTTTGATTGACAATTTGAGAATGTTTGGGATGCTTTTTTCACCACCCAAATGCAAATTGTTGCTCCAGGATTGGTCTTCAACGTTGCACCACCGCGGCTAACAGTAGAGAGTATAGTGGTTAACATTTAACTATCCGAGATAGCCGTTGTTTGGCAGGCTATTATTTATACTGGATGATGATTGAAGGTGAGATGAAAATCTGGACAGCGGCCGGGAAGTGAGATCAGCCCTAGTGGCTCAGTGGCCGTTGAAATCTCTGCACTAATACGAAAGGCTCTCCTGATCTTTGCCAACTTACTCCACCTATGACGCCGCCGTGATATCCGATTGTTTATTTAGGGTCGCGTGTACTGCACCTACACAGCAGTTCACTCTGTTCTACTGTATGGCTGTGAAACATGGCCATTGAAGATGGAAGACATGAGAAGGCTTCAAGTGTTTGACCACCGTTGCCTTCGTAGTATAGGACGTATTCCGTGGTGTCACCACATGAGTAATGCAGAAGTCAGGTGTAGAGTTTTAGGGAGGATAGGTATGTCAGTTGACGAGGTTGTGAACCTTCATCGACTGAGATGGTTGGGACATGTGTTACGTATGCCTAGTCGCCGATTGCCTCGTCACACAATGTTGGCTGAGGTGGGTTCAGGCTGGAAAAAGGCCCGAGGTGGCCAGACTAAAACATGGCACCAATGTATGAAGTCTCTGACTGTTGGTTTAAGCCATGTAGGACGATGCAGACTAGGTGGTTGGGGTCCACGGGACAAGAGGAACCAGTGGTTGGAGACCCTAGGTGATATGGCTCAGAACCGAAGTCAGTGGCGCAGATGTATACACACATTATCCTCATCTTAACGACGCTGTACCGAATCTCGCCATTTTATCATTCTTCCTTTCTCTCTTTTAGTACTTTACATTCCTTCTGACTGAATTTTCTTATCTTTATCTTTCACTTCACTGCCTTTATACTTGATATACTGATATGAGATGAGGTGTGGCAACTCGGAGTGTTACGCAGTAATGCCTGGTCCTATGCTGTTTTGGATGGACTGTGTCTTAACAAAATATTCAAGATGTGATCCGTTGGCTTCTTTTTCTTTTACGACTACATTGTCATGTAAATAGGGAACTCTGAATATCTGGAATCCAACTGTAGATATTGTGCGTAGGTGATTGGATCAGACTTACAAGTACACTTACACTACCCTTCCCTTTATTGTTTCATTTTTGTGTATTTACTATGTATGATGCGATGAATGTCGTTGCGAAAGTAGTTGGTTTAGAAATGATAATGAGTACGGAAGTGAGTAGACATTTTGGTTCAAAGGGAACTTAATGGGATTGGTGATTCTCACACTCTGATTAATGTGAAGTAGTTGGAGGCAACTGGTAGGAAGCCTGGGATCTAGATTTATGGTCGTTGGCATTCTTGAGCAGGGTGCGTCGGCGAATTGAAGAGAACTGATATCCCTTCACAGATTCAAACCCGCATTGCTCAGTGCTGCAGTCAGAGATGTTTACAGTGAGATATTCGGGCCGCGAATAACCTCCTTTCGGACTGGGTTAGGTGCATCGATTGTTTATTGGAGGGTAACCAACTTCATATGGTCTAGTCCTATGTCCTGATCGAATTCTATCAAGTATTTTGCAATGTGACCAGCAGACTAGGAGGCTCATTATCGCGATGCACTCGGACAAATGTTAGTTGGGTGGGGGCGATCGGCAGAAAGCCCTGGACCTGGGTTTCGTGCTTGTTGGCACTCGCAAGCAAGGCGTATCTGCAACCTCTACGGAACTGATATCCCATCTCAGATTGGAACACGCGTCACCTAGTGCTGCAGTCAGTGACATTACCATTCAGCTATTCGGATCTTCTGTAGGACTGCATTACATGCAATGATTGTTCATTGTAGAGCAATCAATCTCATGCTGACTGCTGACTGGATTCTGTCAATCATGTTCATTGCACTGTGTCTGAGAACTGACCATCACGGTGCACTTTGGTTGGTGTTAGTTGGTTGGAAGCTATCAGCAGGGCGCCGTACATGGTTTTTGCACCTATCAGAAAGGTATATGTGCGTATCTACACTCTATAAGCTCAACTCCAGTATCATTTGTGTTTTTTTATATAGCCTTTACAGTGTTGTCACTGTTCTCATAAAATGAAGTTACTGAAAAAGTTAATCGTGCTCTTTCAAATCACCTAGTTGAATAAAAGCCCAATGCGCATTATTAGTTAAATTTAAGTTGTAATATTTGGTTCTAAAGTGTACTGAAATGATCTATTATTATTATTATTATTATTATTATTATTATTATTATTATTATTTCAACCCTACTGTGGTAGAAAGCCAACTGTGAAGCTGTCAAACGTTTGATTTACAAAGTCACTAATGTAACATGTTGATTACTACTATGAATATCTCTTATCATTTATTAAAGTGTTACACCTGCTAGGCGTACTTTCACAAATTGAAATTTATTTGACACACTAATCAGTTTTGTATTTTTAGTCATTAAATAGAAAGCAAAAACAATCAACTAATTGCTGTTTAATTAACAGATTTACACATTTTCACTATGTAATGAGTTGGAATGTCAAAATTTTACTAAGTATCTTTTGATCATGATTATACTGAATGTCATTTTCCACTTTTGTCAAAATTGTTTGATTACTAATTTCAAAAGGTAGAAGAAAGTTACTTGCAGCTGTTGGTAACCTTCATATTACTAGCATCAATAAATGAGTGAATGATGTCCCTGAGGTCAAGCTATTCCGGTTTTACAAACGTTGCCTATTTAAGGTCAGCTCAACATCACTTGCTGATGAGCCGGCATTCAATTTAGCGTATACTCATGAAAATGGTACTAATTAGATGACGAGGCATTTCTCTACCCAAGAGAGTCATAGTTACGTCTGCTACACCCAGTCAAAGGTTCGGAAGTTGGCTCCTGTTTGATCCAGTTTCGTATCGTCATGCTTTAGTTCTTTGCCCAACAAAATTTGAATATGAGCGCTTTTGAGTGATTATCTATCAATTAAAAGGAAAGAGCAGTTTTCATTCTATTTTATATACAGTTGTTATTTTGATGATTTGTTCCCTTTTCTTTTATTTTTGTTCACTTCTCTTTGATAATATTCTTTTCTAGGTATCTTTATGGCATCAAAAGGCGTGTACAGCTAACCTACACTTCTTTCCAGTTCCATGTTATCCATTTAACCAATCAAAGGATGACTTATCGGATAAGGATCCCCTGCGTAAACCAATATTTGTACCTGTCAATATCAGTGTATTAATTGATACTGCTAGAATATTTTATGAACAATCGTCAGCAAACTATAACATTTCACTAAAATCCGAAAATGATATAAATCCGCATATGAATGTGTTAGAATTAGTGAATTATTTATTTCCTGGTAAGTTTTCGGCTTTCATGGTTTATTTTACTAACATTACATCAAAGCTGATATTAGATCATTTTATTTGTTTCGTAAGGTGTCTATATATCCATGATTATCCATGTGTTATTTAGAAATGGAAATGTAACTGGCTAACATTAAAACTGGCTAAATAATGATTGTAATTCAACAATCCTATTAGTAAGTTAAGAGGGTAATTAATCCTGTTTTATATATTGACTGAAAGTGAAAGTATTACTCACTAGAAGCGACTTAAGTAGTAATTTATTGGTGAATAAACTGTTACCAAGCAATCATGTGTTTGATTTACATCTTGAAATAAGGTAAGGATTTACATTGATGTATAAAAAAATGAAAAAAACCTAGATGTTGATCGTCATCTAGCTTTTAGTATAGTGTTGTACACGAGTTAGTCGTTCGATGGTAAACAATGAAGCTATCAAGTCCTCAGTGTTGATCAAAGTCTGTGTACCAATTTAATAATATACTTGTAATTCTCCGTTGTTTTCACTGGATCGAATTATTCGGCCTATATTGGCATATGGGCTCCTAAACGGATGCCTCGATATTGCCTGAGTGTAAATTACGGTAATTTGGTTGGTTATAGCTGACGAGTCCCAAATAGGACGAAACGCACGTCCTGGATTCCTCTACTTGCCACAACCAACCAAATTATCTGTGTACTAAGTTGGAAATGTAACTACCGAAGTTACGTGACATAACAGACTCTCCAATGAGCTGTTTCATCGTAGGATGTTAATAGTCAATCAACAGAAATTGAGATCGGTTCAACCTTCCAGCTTCTTATTTAACGCAAAATATCTAAGTAATCCAGGTAGACTGAGTGAAATTTAGCATTTATGTAAGGTGAAATGATCATGCAATTGTGACCACCTCCTCCAAATAAACATACTTACGGGATATTCAGGTCAGGTCATGAAATCTAATCAGTCTGTTAGATGGAATTATATTTCACTTATTCACTGTTCTTCTATACTCTAATCAACATCTTCAAGAAAGGGAGAGAGTAAAAAGACATGTTTGTACTTGCAACCAGATCTAGTATCTTTTTGACTACAAAAGGTGCATTTCATCGATATGATCTAAAATGGTATCACGAGTGTGTGAGAATAAGATATAACATTTGCTTTACAGCGAATATCAACTTATGTGCCTAATTTGATTGATTTAATTTCTGTAACACAAAGATCCATTTGGAAACGTCAACATAGAACTGTGATCTCAGGCTATGGAATCCTGAGTATATGATTGACTCTTTTCCGTTTTGTTTATCCGAATTCAGTTAGCCAGTATATTGACAAGGGGCGCGGAATTACTAGATAACGGTCAAAACTGCCACATTTCACATCATATCATGATACAAGGCAATACAATCAAAAGTCACAGAAAATCATCAGACGAAAACAAGATGGATTAAAACAAATAACGAAGTGTGACACAGAACTTCTAAGATCAAGATAAAATTTGTGTCCTTGGCTTAGTTTATTTTTACTAACGGCTACATCTCATATATCAGGAGATATTTCGAGATTTCTCTCCCAAAGAATCAATAAAAGGCTTCGCATGTACAGTTATTAGTTACATATGTCAATGAAAAGTTTGTGCATTGTGGAATGGATCAATGTATTATGAGTAAATTTTTCATGCAAATTTTACAGACAATGATAAGAGGTATCAATGGAATCGTCTATCTCACCAATAATAGAGGATGTATTTATGCATTTTTAGGAAAACAGCACTCCAATACCATTCACATCTATTAAAATTTGGTGGGGATATGTTGATGACACTTTAGTTGTAATAAACAAAAAGAATTTCGAAGGATTCCATTCACATATAAACAGTCAGGTGGACTCAATAAAATTCACTATAGAAATAGAGAGTGAATTTGCGAAACTGCCAATGTTGGACTGTAAAATCAAAAGAACAATGGAAGGCATGTTAAAAACAACACTATATAGAAAACCAACACATTCTGGGAGATTACTAAATTACCACTCATCCCACCTAACCATATTAAAATGAGGGTTTATACGGGATCTAGCAGACGGAATACGTAGATTAACAACATTCTGCGATGACCAACGAAACGAAATGAATATCTTATTCAAGACGTTATTAAAGAATCATTACTCAAAGCAAGAAGAGGAAACAAAAGTCAACAACAGAAATTAATGAAGAAGACAGATACAGAAAGGCATTAGTATTACCATACAAAAAGTACATCAGAGGCAATTAGAAGAAACCTTCGAAACGCTGGTATTTTCACAGCACTCTTAAATCCATGAATCTGATAAAAAAAATAAACTGAATCAGCTGAAGGGTCCGGTCAAAAAATTGGACAAGAATAATGTGGTGCGTAAAATACCGTGTACAGACTGTCTAATAAGCTATGCAGCACAAACATGTAGGTCGTTGAAAGCCAGACTGAATAAACATCAAAAATTAATCAAAGGTCAGCCCGTGAAGTGACAAAAGTACAAAATTTGGAGAAAAGTTCATCGATAGTAGCTCATGGATGAGATGAAAAAATAGTATCGATTGCAACAACACTACTATACTAAAGTCCAATAAAAACAAATGGGAAGAAAGGTTAAAAACAGAATCGGTATTCATACATATCACTCTTAACCCTTGTAACGTAGGTGAATCGCCACAACTGTGAACCATAAGGAACATTGTATTGAACAAATAGACTAACGAACAATGAGTAAAGACCATATGTATGACGACTATTGGCAAATGTGTGAATAAATATTGCCAAAATATTCCAACTTTTGGTGTGACCATGGGTAGCAATTTTACTCAAAATATTACCAAAATAAAAACTTATCGATTTCAGGTTGGAATTTATCATGAACTGATGTAAGTTGGAGGAATATTGAAAACCTGGGAGCATCGGACACCTGTTATGTCCTAGTGTGGCTCAATTGTAACATGCTGGTCGCGGAACTTGAAGGTCCTGGGTTCGATCCCTGGCGGGATTGTGGTGTCCACTGTTGAGAATTTCTATACTAAGACGAAACAGCTTTCCAGTGCCCCCAGGTTCCAAATATTCTTCCAACTGATGAAAGCCCATAATGAATTCCAGCCTGAAATCAATTACTAAGTCTCCACAGACCTCCAGATTGAATAAAACTTATCATTATGTAAACTTTACATTAAAAATTTACTTACAATACATTATAAGTTATCGAAAATTATTTTTACTCTATGCATATTCTTGTAGTGACTTTACAGATACGTGGATGGTGTATCAAGTATTGGCTGAGCATTTCTAAGGGAGTATTAAACACTCTGTGTAGAAGAAAGAGGAGTTAGATTCCTACTGATTATTGCAATTTACTTGGTAGTGGAATCCAGGAAGAACGTTTCCTCCCATTTGGAACTCAGCTGGATATACTTGTACCGCAGTGAGTGATAGTGTCACCACTGAGGGTCGGACTTCGCACCCATTACTTCATTCTTCAAAGGGTTATCCACTAGGCCACTATGACATGAGAGCCCCCGTTTGTGCAATGGATGTCAGTTATTATTCGTTGATACTTTTAGTTTTCCGTTGCCATACTGGATGGAATTGATCGACCTCTGTTAGCATCTGGGCTCCTATGTTTGTGTCTCTATATTGAGTGACTATTCATCATGTTGTAATTTACCTAGTGGGGGTTAACAGTGAGATCCAGAACACGTGTGGCTTAGTGGATAACACTGGCATTTGGAATGATTGGTGAGGGATTCGAGTCTAACTGGTAACGTCGTAACTCGCCGGTATGCATTTACATCCAGGCGATGAGTCCCAAATAGGACGAAATAAGCGTCTTCGATTCCACTGCTAGCTGCTCTGAAGTAAACTGTAACGTAATATATATCCATGCAATGTGAAGGCGTCTTAATAAGAACCAATATGCCAACAGACGTCGATCAATTCAACCCAGTAAAAGAATCATCTTGGATACTATTGTAAATCAGCGTAGGATATTTAGAGCTTGTTATCAGAACTACTGATCGCTTTATTCCTTCCTATTCTTCACCTCTTCCATTCGTCTTTTTTGTATATACGCGTGTGTTTATGTGTATGTGCTTGTTTTCCTAATTTTTACGATAAATTTCTATCCAGACTAGCATAAAACGGCTGATGTATGTCAAAATTTCTTGGAGTAGCAGTCATGAAGAAGGCAGTTGAAGTGTAAATGCTAAATGGAATAAATTAATATGTTTATGTACTGTGTTTGTATGTATTGATATCTTGTCTGTTTGTAGAATGATTGATATTCCTTTCATCAAGTACATTATTCAACTATATAATCAAAGCGTCTCAAGAATCCTAAACGACCTTTCCATATATTTCACTTTGTTCTAATATATACTGTTGTTTTCGACTTTCTAGGGTTATATGAAAACTCTCCAATAGACTTATTCTATATACAATGATATAGGAATCTGCTGAAAGGTCTATAGAACTCAAATGTTTTGGTGTTCAGTAAAAAGACAGTATGGTCTAAGTTTCATTACAAAGCGTTACTAACTTCAATGTTTGTTAGAAAGACCATCTGACCTGTCTAGATTGGACACATTGAGTGATGATTCGATAATTTTTTGGATACATGTCTCACCTCTTGAATGCTTTGAGACCTGTCTACATTAATGCTTCATGTGACAATAAATGGTCGAACGATTGAACGGGTTAACCACTTCATTTACCTTAAAATTGTATCATTGACCGTTGAAATCTCGAAATGGATCCAAAAGGCTCCATGACGGTTAACAGAGATTCGGATATCTAATAGGTATTAAGGTCTATTGTACAGCACTTCACTATGCCCTACTGTATGACTTTAAAATGTAGATACTGAAGTTTAAGGACTAGGAAGTTTCAGAAGTTCAAACACCGTTTCCTTAGTAGTATCGTTCGCTTATCATAAAACTAACATATGAGTAACTTGAAAGTTAAACGTTGGACCTTTGGAGAAAAACTTTGTCAGTTTATGAAATCCTAATTTGGGAAATGTGTTACACATCCCAAGTTACTATCTCCTGTGATGTGCTATATTGCTTGAAGTACGTTTCAACTCGAAAACGGATCAATGTCGGAAATTTTGTCGAGTAACTAATACTGTTTCATTGTGAAACACATATAATAAATCAACTGAAAAGGAACTATCCTCCATCACAATGCTTAAGTTTTACCATTATATAAGTTTTGATTATATTCTTTCTATTTCTTAGCCTTTTATTTTACTGCCTTCTCTCTTGATATATTGATGTAATGTGTGTCCAGTTGAAACGTTAAGCACTAATCTCAGATCCCATGTTGAGTGATACTGTTCTTAATGTTAGAGGATGGTGATTAAGGTGTAAATAAATTTATGTCGTGCTCATTACTTAAATGTACTTACTTATATGTGTAATAAGGTTGGTGGTTTTCAGTTTAACCATAAACAACTTTTTCGCTGTTTCTTAAACATTACTCAGGTCTTTCACATGCGGAACGGTTAACCTGTATTCGTTGTTTCCAAGATTCTATACTTAGAAGGTAATTTGTTTATACAATTTTCGCATAGTGATTATAGTACAGCTCTAAATTAGACCAAAGATTTTTCTTTTGATTATTTTTATAAAGTAAATGACTTTAATTTGCGAAGTTACATTATTATTTGTTGATACTTGTAACTCACCGTTGTTATACTGGATCAAATTGATCGATTTCTGTTGGCATCTAGGATCCTATTCGAAAACCTCAATACTGTCTAACTACTCATGGGTTTGTAATTTACTTGGGGCTGGCTAGCAGTAGAATTCAAGACACGCGTTTCATCTTATTTGAGACTCTTCAGCGAGATGTACCTGCACTCCAGAAAATGATCTTCGTGCCACTGAGGCTGGAATCCTGCATCCATAGCTCCAAACGCCAAAGCGTTATTCACTAGGCCAATACTGTAGTTTGTAAAGTTTATATCCTTATGGCTTTTATAACCTAGCAAACTAAATGGCGTTTACCAAATATGTAAAAGGTGTAGATTGACTTGAAACCAGTGTAAGGTATGTGAATGGATGAATGTCTTGTAGCCATTGGTTTAATGCTTCTACAAAGCAGAAGAGAAATCTGCCTACTGGATAGTTTCTTCCTGTAAAACGGCTTGTGTGACCAGTTTTTTTGGTTAAATTAGTTTGGTATGATTCACTCCTGAGATGACAGCCTCTACTAATAACATCAAGTGATAAAAATATAGGCGTTCGGTGTCAATTGTTGCTGTTGTTAATTTTTTACTTCCTACACAGCGGGAACAGGCTAATAGATTTGTCAGGTATTTACTGTTTGCAGATATTCAGTATTGGACGGCTGACTTTAGTTTCAAGAAACATATCGGAACTCTAATAAGAAGAATACAAGTAGGTAGCTCAAAGTATAGGTACTTTGGTTGTAGGTACAATGTTATTGTTATCCCTTCGATGTGTCTACGTCGATTTATAGCGTACGAATTTATATGACAGAATTTTTGATAACATACAGGGGTCAGAATACTAACATTTACAGGAGATATTTAGAGTTACATCCTCTTCAGACACTATTGTTTTTACTCGATGCGAAGTCTACCACATACATAAACTATAACATGTAAGTATGAGGTCGTTTATTCTGAGAAATGTGTGGCATCATTTAATTAATAATGCTCCAATGTTTAAATGCTTGAAGATTACTATGGGGAGTATTTTCCCTGATTTATGTCGTATTGTACTCACTTTTATTACTCACAAAGTGCCTCCTCACTTATGAATAACTTGAAAGATTTTAAATAGGCTTTTTGTTCTTCATACTGCATTACTTCAAACTGTACCAAGTTTTAACTGGTTTAAGCATTTAAATTTAACGCAATGAATCCTAGACATTAGCTTCACTATATCCACTTCGATTCGGAAAACTTAGCAGTATCATAAACTGCTATACAATAAATGTGGGTATTAGCCTAGCACACAAGCATCTAAACCTATGTATTACTTCAAATTGTGAACCATTATCAAAATGAAACCAAAGCGTAGAGCACGAGATTTCGACATACAGATAGTTTTCTTACAAAGATATGTTGCATAATGAAAGTCACTATCGGAATCTTTCAGTTACTGAGTTTTTCTTGTGATAATAGAAACATGTGATGTCTAGTTGATATATCCCTCGCTTTCTCTCTCTCTCACACACCTGAGCAATAACTCGAATTCCACCCTCGATGGGCACTCAGTTTCTCGGTTCATAGAAAGGGCGGTAAGATGACGGAAGGTGTATTGGAACGTCAAAATGTATTCAAATTCGACGGTTTATGTATGTTTACAATAGCCTTGACTATTACTAGGCATTTCGAAAAGGGTATATCCTGTTTATTCAAACAATCTGGTGCACATACGTGGATTCATTTGCTTTTTCTTCAAACTTTGGAGCAACACGATTGGTTGTGAGAGGCTTTTTATAAGGGTCTAAACAATCTGCTCATACAGTCACACTAATCATAATATGACCAGTTTTTAGTAGGTGGTTTGAATTGAATAGGAGAACAGTATATGAGTAAAGTTAACTCATATTCCACATGATTCCTTCAGTTTATAAATATGAATAGACTTAGAATGTTTGGATATGTAAAATTCACGCCACGTATTATGTATGAAGTATTAAAGGTCAGGTGATTTGCACCAGTTAAGGAAGTAAAGTGCATGAAGTGGATCAGAAACTGTGGATAGATGTTCAAACTAATTAGTGTCAGTATTTTTTAGAGTATGATTGGGAATTATTGTCTACAGTATATAATTTCTTTAAGTGTTCCAATTTGTTTTCAACTTTTGTGTTTGTAGATTCGGTTTCATCAGTGATAGTTGTGATAAAGATCGTTTGAACTATGAATTACACGGTCAATTTGCTTTTAATTCCTGTTGTTCACCGAAACAGTGGATTTACGTACATTGCAGTGGGGGAATATTTGCTCTGATACCATTATATGAAACCACAGAACCAGAAGTTAACGATAAAACAAAAGTCAGTTATGACACCTCAGAACCTCTGGAAGTTCATAATACCGAAGTAAGTATTTTGAACACTTTTCATTATCAAAAAAAGAGAGAAACAGGATTGTAATTTTTGTAGTCATACTTCATTTGACTCATAGTATAACATCCATTGCTTAATCATTTGACTTTTAACCAGTGAGTCATGGATTCGGACTCTATTCCGCATACTTCGGCCTGAGCAGTGGGGTAATATCATAAGCCATTATATATATATATATATATATATATATATATATATATATATATATATATATATATATATATATAGAGAGAGAGAGAGAGAGAGAGAGAGAGAGAGAAAGAAAGAAAGAAAGAAAGAAAGAACGTTGGAAGATGGAGCTTCATGAACTCCATATGCGGCAAACAATGCTTCACATTTAGTAGTATACAATCCTTTCTTGGTTAAATGAAAGCAGTGAAGTGGCTGAAGTTGTTAACTATTTTCCTTGCCTAAAGAGATGTAATGACATTGACCGCCTACTTGACCTGAGAACACTGGACGGCATTGTATAGTATTATATTGTCGAGATATTCACTTACATTAGGATTATTTCACTGCAGAGCTGAATATATGATAGAATCATTAAATGAATTAGGTTGAGTTAATGAAACTTTTGTATAATTCTTAAAACGCATTCAATTATTGGTTAGATATATTGTTAGGCTGACAATAGTTGAAGTACCATCGTGAACTTAAGAGAACTGTCCTTGCGCGGGACTCCTCAGTCCAAATAAGGAGTGCCTAAATTTCCCGTACCCTTTGAATAAGGCAATCAAGCATTGAATACTTAATTTTTCAAATGTGGGGAAAACGCTACAGTTTAAACGGATGAGATGGAGTACACTTAGTGAATGTGATATTCCCTGTGACCTTTATGTCTCATTTTTAGTGAAGTAGAATACGACTTACAACACATACAGTCTACATACAATTTCACACTGCATGACTAGTAATCGTTATGAAATAATTTGTTTGATTTTGACTGACATTAGAATCCATGACTTGCATTTACTTCTGTTCGGGATTCGTCAGTTGCATGCACGGGCATTCTAGTGTGTGGTCATGTCCCCATTGACACTCGTATTCAGCACCCATCGTTTTAAATCCCGAGGCATTATTAATGGGTCGTAATCATATTTGAAAACAATACTCATACAAACAGGATTGAACAAGGAGACTAAGTTCACTTTCTTGATCTCATTTATTTATAACTGAAATTTTGATTACTTTCCTGATGAAAAACCTCAGACGAAACTTCCATGTGAAACTTTGGGATAATTTTATTCGCAACATACTGATACTTGTACGAATGCCACCTACACCTTTTGTTTTGCTGATGAGTTGTTCAAAGGATCTCAGGGATACAAAACCACTAGTGCAATCGTTCTGAGTTATTACTAGTATTCATCTTATTACTAGCCTTTTTAATAAACACTAGATATTTTCTTGAGTAGTTCTACCTGTCAGTTATTTGCGAGGTTGTGTGCTTTAGTCTAGTTCGTACTCACGATTGAATTTAATGAAATACTTCCTACACAAGTTATTGCTGAACAAATATAGATGAGATTTCACACACGAGGAAGATGCGAAGTACTATGCGACCCATTCTCATGAGGAGAAGGCTTGATGATTGACTGTGCCTAACCAGTTGTTTTGATTAAGTCAATTTGTCTGTAGAGCGAAAAACGTTTGCTCAAACTACTTGTATGCATGTGATTATTGAGCATCTCATGAAAATCTCATTAGTTATCTCTCTTCTATGCTAATGTAATGGACATTATAATCCTGTTGACCATCCATCTTTATAATTCCTCCTGTGACGATACGTATCTTTGTTGTTGTATGAATGAGGTCAATTGCACCGTTTGAAGCTAGTCGGATTGTGTCAGATGTATGGGTGCTTGGAATATGCATTATTAAAACTAAAACTCGTGTTCATCCTGTACAGTTCTAAGACTTCCACTTCCAGTTATTGAAACGAACGGAACAAAATCCACTCAGTAACTTTGTGTACATGCATGAAGTGGGCAACGAACCACACCTATTGTATGAGGGATAATGCTACTAGATGGTTGCCCAAACCTCAGTAGGTGAAGCTGCGTTTGAACCCGTGGCCCAGTGGTTGAAAGTCAACTCCTTGAACCAATGAGCCACAATCTCACATTCCACTTATTGTAGATTGCCAATTCTGTTTATACTATCCCTTAAATCTGTATTACGAAATTAATACAACACTGAATTTTGGATTGTTTGTGTTGTTTTAATGAGTTTTTTTGTAAAAACTAATATCAAGTTAGTATTCTGATAAGTTTATATTCAAAATTATTGTCTTGAGATATTAATTGCACACTAAAATGACTGATTATTTTCTCTACTTCTTAGGGATTAGATAATAGTAATGACTATCTACAAGGTGACAAGAAAGTTATAAACATGAATATGGCGGAAAAACAATTAGATTACAGTGTAAATTGTTATTTATTGCAGAAAGCTATAGGTTACTTTTGGGCATGGAATCATATGTTACCAAGGCGTTGGCGTGGTCATCTAACTGGAGATGAGTCATTCCAAGATGGTATGTTGGCTGACTTTAGAGCTTTTCTGAATGGAGAAGATGCTCGTTTATCTCAGTATTTTGTTCAATTTTTGAAGTCTTTAACTTTACAGTCAATGTAAACCAATCAATGCAATAAACATCTGTGAATGATTTGTAATATGGATATATTACGGGATCATCAGTGATGTTCAATATCGATATACTTTTTAAAAAGATTTTATCATCAAAATAGAGCCCATTTTTGATACTATAATGCTTTTTGATTTAACTTAACCAGGATTTGGGGATTAAATTATGATTGAATTTATAGGAAACATGAAAATGATTCAGTTTTCATGTAATTGGTAGTGGCTACCAGTGAAATTCCAGGATTCAGTCTTCTTCTAATGACATGAAACATCATTCCGTTATCTACTCGGTTTAGTGGATGGGTAAGTTTTACAGGAGAATAATAGGCATTATTAAACATTTAGGTTTTTTCCAGGTATGATTACAATGGTGTTAATGTTTGGGGATTTAAAAGTAAATTTGATGGACTTTATTGTCTAGCAGTGACTGACTTATATAAATATAATTGATGAGGATGCACCAGTTGGTTATAGACAGAGGTGGAAAGGTATATGGGGATACCAAACAATCAATTAACATCCTTGAAGCAAATGAAATTTATATTGACTGTGGCCAGCAAAAGAGGCAGGTTGTTACATAACCACTGTGTAGAACGGAAATACTGTAGTAATGAACTGGTTTCGCAAAATACATATTGGTCAGTGATTCTGAATATAATTAATTGGTTACACTCAGATTATCACTTATCCTTGAGCCATGATCTAAGAAAAGTTAGCAACTAACCAATGAACTAATTGGGTGTATATCTATACCTTATAGTAAGAGTAAACATCACGTTTATACAAAATGTGCAAATTACGTAACAGTTATGACCTCCTCATTGGAAAATAAATACACCTCTTATATTTCGTTCTCATTTGACAATTTTGAACAAATCAGGGGAAATAGATTTACAGAGATAAGAATCCGAAATTCAGTGAAAATACTGAGATAGTGAATCGTGGAGACAATAAAAGGGTAGATATTATGTTAGGGGAACACAGCAATTTTGCTAAATATAGACTGACAGATCCGAATAAGATCAATAATTTAAAAAGAAACTCATCTGTTACAACAGATGCATTAACAAACAACCACATAATAGGGTAGGATAAAGCCACTGTACATAAGTCCAATATAACTAGATGCCGAAAGAGAGAGAGAGAGATTGATTACTGAATCTTTGTTAATCGAATTAGCAGTCAATACATGTTACAAGAATGATTCAACACGTATACCAGAGATATAGAAAAGTTTACTGTTAATAAAAACAAAGAATATGAGACATCAGGACTATAAAAAAGTCAGATGTTGACAGGTGTGTAATTACATTGATATGATTATGAGCAATAAGGTATGCTTGAAATGTCATCAAGTAAATAATACTACATCACTGTGCGATGTATATAAAATGAACAAATTTAATATGACAAGATTATTATTATTATTATTATTATTATTATTATTAGTCCCTTGGGTTCCTAGTGGAACATAGGGCTTCAGTAGCACGTCTCCAGTGACCTCTGTTCTCTGAGATCTTTTGAACCTCGCTCCACGACAGCCCAGAATCTCTCATTTCCTCCTCGCACGATCTCCTCCATGTCACCCTCACCTCCGAAGCCCAACTCGTTGCTTCCCATGGGGATTCCACTCGAGCAACTGGCCTGGCTCGTGATGTCCTCAGTCGGTCTTCTCAGTGCATGGCCAATCCATCTCCACTTCCTCCTGCATATTTGTTGCGTGATAGGTTCTTGGTTGGTTCGTTCCCAGAGTTCCTTGTTGCTTATTCTTTCTGGCAATCCATCTGATCTTCAGTAGCGAGCCAGCGTAAGCAGTTGTTGATGAATGTCTGTAGTTTATTGGAAATGCCTTTCGTGACGCGCCAAGTCTCTGAACCATACAGGAGCACTGACTTGACTGAGGTTGGTGTTGAAAATCCGTATCTTGTTCCACATGCTGAGTGCAGTGCAGAAGATCTCCACACTGGTTTCAGGCTAATGAACGCCTGTCTTGCTTTTCCGATTCTGACTTTGACGTCCTCGTCCGTCCCGCCTGTAGTTGAAATAGTGCTTCCTAGATAAGTGAAGGAGGTTACTTCCTTTAAGTTTCTTCCGTTGATGGTGACTGGAGTTTGTTGTTGTTGTTGTTGATGGTGGTGGTGCGGTATCCTCATCACTTCTGTCTTCTCTATATTCACTTGAAGTCCCGTCTTCGCTGCCTCTTCTGTCAAATTGTTAGTTTTTTCCTGCAGATCTTCAAGTTTGTGTGACATCAGGCACAAGTCATCGGCGAAGTCCAAGTCTTCTAGGTATATGACAAGATAATATTTAAATATTCTAATTGTGATAATTGAGAAACAGAGTTTAAAGCGAATACATATTTTATGTAAATTCTCGTCAGGTCTCATAGTTACATCTAGGAATTATTCAGCATAGTCGTCATTTGATACAAATATGAAGTTTGCAAAGCAAGAACAAACGCTGTGGAGTGAGTTGGATTCATTTCGTGTGCTCTCAATCTTCCCCACATACATTAAATTGAAAATTATGTACAGTAGTAAGCGGGTTATCAGTGTCCAACACAAAGCATTTGATACATCTCAACAGTAAAATCAACACCAAATACATCTTTCACATTCACACATCGATCCATATGTATGAGAACTGTAACGAATGACAAAGTGCACGACCTAATCAATCAATATAGGGAACAACTAAAATAACACTTCAAACTATAAGATCGATCAGTAAACACAAATAAAATAATGCGACGTAATAGTGGGTGCGTGTGTATGATTAAAGCTCAAGATGGTTGGAGTTTTTGATAAAAGGGGAAGGACCGAACAAAAAAGATGGTGTGCAAGATATATGAATTAATGGTAGATGGATGCAAAAGAATTTGAGGTAAAACCATGAAAATGTAAGGGATTAAAGTAATTTTAACAACGTAATAAGAAGAGGAATATTATCGTGATGTATCAACGTTATACATTTTGAATAGTTTGATCACACATGAACTTGTCAAACTATTTATATGAAAATTTACGTAAACGGTCAATTAAATCAGTACGAAACATGGGGATTGGAAGGCCAGAGAAAAACAGAATCTGAATCATATCACTTTTAGTATGAGTGAGTACAAATTGTTTTTGTATACATAAAGGAGGTTTGGATTTTCGGATTACAAGAGCTTCAATAAATCTAGACGTTCGTTCATCATCTCTTCTATGTATTACTTTAAAAGTTTTTTAAATTTCTACCTTGGAACCAGTTTCTAGCATGTGTTTAGCAATAGATGAAGATGGATATTTGTCACCTACACTTTCGGCTCTGTTGAGGTCATTTGTTTATGAAGCCACTTAAGTACATGTTCAACTATTCTTAACTGCATATCACGATTACTCCCCTTGTGTAAATGTGTCCATACATATGTAAATTGATAAACTCAGTGGAATGTGATGCAATCGTTTATATGTTGTTTTGGTTTGTATTGTAACATGGTCTGTCTCTTCCCTACAATGATGACCTTGTCTGGATAGTATGTTTTACAGATGGCTGATTTAACCCTTTTTCACAATAAGACTAGGTGAGCCGCCTCTAAATGGCAGTGAGGTGCAGACATTTATCTTTAGAACAAAACACTGCATACTTTTAAATGCTACATAAGGTTTGCACCCGTTGATCAATTTCAGCGGGTAGCCATTCTGTATCAGTGTTGCCGTCACTAACCTAATTTTCTCATTTTTCTTGTCATCGGTGTAGATGCAGTTCATTTTGTTGAATAAGCACTTCAATAAACCACGTTTATTTCGAACTGGGCAATAGCTATGGGAACTAAGATATTGCCCTGCCCGTATAGGCTTCCTATAGATCGACTCTCTGATAGTCCCATCGTCCCATCGGCTAAACACTATGACTAAGAATAGTAGCTGGTTGTTCGTCTCTTCACAAATAAGGGTGGTGTGATTTTGAGTCGTGTTCATATTCTCTATCAGGCACATCATATCGTCAGGGTTATCACATACAATAACTATATCATCGATATATCTCTTATCAAGTGTAACTCTTACGATGAGATTGTTAACCGTGTTTTCAATATATGACATGTGTACATGGGCTAGTATTCAACTTTAAATGTGAATTGAACTTAATAACAATAAATCTTTCCAAAAATTAGGAGGCATAGGAAATATAAGACTGTTAGAAGAAATATGGTAACATAAAATGTCATTTTTTTACCAGCAGTACATCAGATAATAAAGAATTTACATTGAAGTAATACATTGATACTGTTGTCACTTCAAAAGTCAATAAGATCAAATGTATCTCTCAATGAAGACCTACATAAATGACTTTTGACAGGACTCAAGGGCTTCGCAAACCATTTAGCTAGATTATGTGTGGGTGGTTGACACGTAGACAATATTGGACGTAGCGGATCATCAGGTTTATGAGTTTTAGGTAACCAGTATACTTGTGGGTGCTCAGATCTCATAAGTTTTAGATAATTAAAGTAAATCAAGACAAAGCAAGGTGAAACACAAACTCCTTTTGAACATATAAATTTAATTTCACTCGACGGGTTTTTACTGTTTCTGTATAACGTAGCAACCTACTGTTTCTTTGTTGATAACCTTGGAAGTTATGTCTGGATCGACGGCGTGATCTGTATAGTGGATGCGTTTACCAGTGGCACTGCTAGGTAGCGTTGCACCTCTCAATGACAAGTTTTCGATACATTATATACATAAAAACGTTTGTGTATTGTGGAGAGAATTAATTGGTAATAGCACAATTGGTAGAGCACCGGGTCGGAAACCCGGTGGTAGCTAGTTCGAATCCTATCGCAATCCAAATTTTGATTTTACCTTCAGTCATCACCCAGTATCAGTACCAGTCTGCTAAACCACGGATATCTCAAACGGTCAAAATGATAATAAATTATTTTTAAGATGATTTTAGATTTTTAATTTAGAAGTAGTATTCATCATGGACTGACATCAGTTGGGGAACCATTGAAAATCTGGGAGCACTGGACAGCTGCTTCATTCTGGTTGGAAATTGTGAACCACTGGAAGCCGACCCAGTGGCTAAATGGTTAGCACTTTCGCCGTGAAACCTGAAGGTTCTGAGTCCGATCCCTAGCCGGGCCGTGGGTGCGTACCGCTGAGGA